TTGAGAGGGAAGACTTCCGAAGCCTTTTATGCTTGTTCGAACTTGTAGAGCAAGATGAGACCCAGTGCAGGTACAAAGTAAATGAGCGGGTAAATCCGGGGGTGACACGGATGAAGGGGCTTGTGCATGATAAAGATGCCGATAAAGCTTATTGCAGTTGCAAAGGATTTGAATTTTGGGGTATTCTGTGCCGACACATCCTAGCATTTTTAAGAATGAAGCAGGTGGAGCACTTGCCAGATAATTACATAGTGAAACGATGGCTTCAAAGTGCAAAGTGCGGTGTAGTATATGATAAGAATGACAAAGAAGTTAAAGATTGCGTGGACGGTTTGGTTTTGGTTAAGAGATCGAAACTTGGCAAAGTTGCAGGTGAGTTGATAGATTCTGCTTTGTTGTGTGATGAAGGTTTTGAGTTGCTGGAAAATTCATTTGACGACATTCGTGGGAAGCTTACAAGGTTGTTGTCATCAAGAGCTCGTGTCGAAGAAGAACCCAATGGAGAGGTCGGAACTAGTTCTTCCCAAGTCAGAATGAAGGATCCCCTTCGGGTAAAAGCAAAAGGGCGTGCGAGAAGAGTGAAAGGGCAAAAAGAGAAGGCAACGAAAGGACATAAACGACGGTGCAGTGAATGTAGGAAGACTGATCATGATAGACGGAGTTGTCCCAAACTTGTGAGCGGGTAAGTGAATATGTAATTGTCTGGGTTTGAATTTTATACAAGAAATGCAGTTGACTTGTTTCTTTGTTTCGATGTTGCAGCTCTTCATCTTCCGACGCAGAAGTTGGTGCTGCAGTTGATGAGAATTTGCAGCCCAGTCGGAGCACGCAGGACAGGGAACCTACTATGACAGAGTCATTTCTGCAAGAGTTTGATTTCATTTACGGTCCCGGAGTTTGAATATTTGTTTATACCAATTTGCGTCTTTTTGGAAACCATCTGGAACCGTTAGTGAATCTTATGTAAGTGCCTCATGTTGATACTGAACTAAGGTATGTGAACAGCAACAGAAAAAACCGCCCAAAAACAAAGTAACTTTTGTATTCGATAATTATTAAGTGTCACACACGTATCGCATGACTTACATTCGGACATAGAAAAATAAAATAAAATAAAGTACATAAAATAAAGTACATTAG